GAGCCCAAAAAATTTCTATTAAAAACTTTGTTTTTTTCACATCGTTCTTAGACGGTACTCGTTAAAGAAAGTAGAGTCCTTTGGGCCAAAATTTTGTCCGTTTGGCTCTATCTCTAACCGTTTGGGCGCCAGAGGGCGTTCTTCACACGAAAATCCCCCTAAAACATTTTAATGGTTTTTCTCAGATATTTTAAGGTCTCCGGTGGGGTAACTCGTCAAAGTAAAACCCCGAGGCACAAAATTTGTGACTTTTAGGACCGAAGGCCTATTTACGACCGTGCCTTTTGCCCAACTTCGGTGTCAGCGCCGCAGGCCTAGGTAGACGTATGCTAGGCGCGTCGCAGCGTAACAGTGTTCGTGAGATATCGCGAAGCCTGTTACGCGAGACGTAGTCTGGCGTACATCTACCTAGTTATTAAATACATATAAACCCCAAATTTCTATCTCCAATAGCTTTGCGCAGGGAATCTTTCAAAAAATGCGATTTTTGAAACTGAAATGTCCTTTTTTTCTCGACATCATAGTGTCTCCTTCGGTCCGGGCGAGGTACACGGGGCCCGCGGGCCCCCAAAACAAGCGGACCCCGCCCGAGGGGATTTCCTCTTTCCGCCCCGGGCCAGTCCGCGCCTGCGGGTAGGCGCGGGCGGTAAGGGTGGGCAGCCCAGGCTGAGCCTGAGCTGCTGGTGTGAGTTAGCCTAGCCACCTAGGGATAAGGATTCCGGTGCAATCTCGTGGGGTCGAGGATGGGGGTCCATGTGCTCCAGGAATCGTGTTCCAAGGGCTGTGTTGCGGGCAGAGGTCCTGTCGGCTGGGGGCTGGGGAGTAAACCTACTCTGCGACCAATATACTGGGGCCGGCCGCCAACACGCAGCAGGTAGGCCGCCATTGCATCACTCTCCCTCTCTCGACTGTGCCCAAGGAAGAGGGAAGTTGGGCTGGAGCAGCCGGCGGGGTCAGTTTTACCCGCGGGCGCGGACCGGAGTTTACGTATGTGTGGAAAGGGGGAGGGGGGGGGCATCCCCACCCACGTTTCCTTTCTCCCGAAATGGAGGCAGCTGCGGCTGTGATCGTTGTGGTACACTGTTTAATCAGACAAATACATATGAATCCGTTTTGGTGGTCCGTGTGTCGTCTTTACAATCCAGTATGGTTGCGTTTCCTTTCGCGACAGGAAAATTAGGCGCCAGTTTCGATGTGTATCGCACTGCCAGCAAATGTACACATGTGTTAGCTGTAACTTCCATAATTACATACTATGCACGGCTGTAGTTACAAGTAACCTGTGTGATTGTCGCGAGTGGCTGTTAAAAATTCGTAAAAATTGCAGTTTATTAGTGCATTTACAACAATTCGCCCCCCC